GTTTAGGGTTCAGGGTTGAGGGTATAGGGGTTTAAGGTTTAGGGTTTGGGGTTTAGGGTTTCGGGGCTTAGGGTTTCGGGGTTTAACTAGGGTTGAGGGTATAGGGGTTTAGGGTTTAGGGTTGAAGGTTTAGGGGTTTAGGCTTTAGGGCTTCGGGTTTCGGGGTTTAGGGTTGAGGGTTTAGGGGTTTAGGGTTCAGGGTTGAGGGTATAGGGTTTAGGGTCTAGGGTTGAGGGTATAGAGGTTCAGGGTTTAGGGTTGAGGGTATAGGGGTTTAGGGTTCAGGGTTGAGGGTATAGGGGTTTAAGGTTTAGGGTTGAGGGTACAGGGGTTCAGGGTTTAGGGTTGAAGGTTTAGGGGTTTAGGGTTTAGGGCTTGGGGTGGGCTCGTCATGGACACAAGACAACAGGGTTACAGATGAGCCCAGCCAGAAACCGTACCTGGAAAGTCAGCTACGAAGAAAGTCTGTCGCACTCGAGGACGCCAAACCCTAACCCCTAAACCCTAAACTCTAAACCCTAAACCCTAAACCCTAAACTCTAAACCCTAAACCCTAGAATCCTTCGGCAACATCGGAGGTGGGTGCCAGGCTTGAGGGAATCTTTCACGAAGCTGCCACCGGCCACCACCTTCCGTTCAAAGTTTCGGGGCTCGGGGTTTGGAGGTTGGGGGTTTAGGGATTTAGGGGTTCGTAGGGTTTAGGGATTAGGGGTTTAAGGGTTTGGGGATTTAGGGTTTAGGGATTAGGAGTTTAGGGGTTTGGAGGTTGGATCTAGGCTTGATAAAGACGAGATCAAGGCTAAATCTTCGAGATTTGACCCTAAACCCTAAACTCTGAACCGTTCAGGTGTGGAGTTTCGGGTTTTCGGGTGTTGGGTTGGGCGCCCACAGGCCAAACCCAAGCCCCAAACCAGACGCTCAGTTGCTTTAACTTTTCCTCAATAACCTTGTTAGGCTTTAAGGTTTACTGGCTTTTGTCCAAAAGAAGGAATGTAGCAAACATAGGGAATTAATTCAGTGTCCTCTGTCAGGGTGACTTCCCTTTACTAGCATCTTCCTTCATCCGGTGACAAGCGCGGACTTCTCAGCTGCTGCATTAATGGCTCCTGCTAGTCTTACGGGACTATAAAAAGTTTCTATGGCCTGCATGCCCCAACCCCCCACGTACCTACTATATAGGGTACCAGAGCTTTCAGGGCCCTATATAGTAGGTACCTGGGCGGTTAGGGTGAGGTAAACACTCATACCCTAAACGCTAAACCCTAAACCGTGAAATCCTAAACCCTAAACCCTAAACCTGCAAACCCTCAGTCTGGCTCGGGGTCGTAGTGCGGATTCCACTCGTATCTCCAACTCAACCCTGAACGCCCCAGGTACCTACTATATAGGGCCCTCGGGGCTCTACTACCCTATATAGTAGGTACCTGGGGGGGTTAGGGTGAATCTTCAACGTTGCAAGACGGCTCTGCGCGCAGATGTAGGCGGTCATTACAAAAACGGGGCCTTCATACTTAGAATAGGCTTCCTTCAAGGGGTTCCTTAAAAGGGTACTATACAGGGTATCATAAGGGCTTAAATGTAGGGGCCTTAATAATTAGAGTAATGTGTTGGGGCATACTAAACTCTAATTATAATAAGGAGCCCCGAAAATAGTATAGGTAATGATGATAAGGCCCCTATATTAGGCCACTCGGTTGTTTCAGGGGTTCCATGGTAGGACACTTGCAGTCCGTGTTGACGGGATCGACAAAATTCAAGCTGTTACATTCGTCCTGAACCTCTCAGAAATCCAAGCTGCTAAATCATCCATCACAGTCACAAGTTTCGCCAAGTCACAAACAATGGGAATTCTTGAGGAATCCTCTTTCTGTGAGTTTCACAGCGCAGCCCAAATCCAAATCCGAAAACCTAAGCATTCTTACGTCTTCCGCTCGACATCTTCTTAACTCTGCTACGAAGCCGAACGGCCTATACCCTACGTAACCATGAAGCCAAAGCCGTTATGTTCTTCTTTGTTAATTGGGCATTCCCACCTCACCCGACTGCATTGGCCGTTGGGACCTGGGCCAAACGACCGGCAGTGTTTCGCAGTTTCGCCCCCTTCAGAGTCTGTCAAGTAAGTTGAAGCATGGGGAAACATACAGGGAGGACAAATGAGTAGGGACTTTTCTAGGGATCTTGAAAACTCCCCGAAAACCCTAAACCCCAAAGCCACTTCACCTTCAGCATCAGCATCCCAGAAGGCCGTACGCACAATTGTCGCAGGTTCAGGAGTCCTAGGTCCTAGGGTTTGGGTATAGGGTTTAGGGTTTAGGGTTTAGGGTTCGAGGTATAGGGTTTAGGGTTTAGGGTATAGGGTACAGGGTTTAGGGTTTAGGGTGTAGGGTATAGGGTTTAGGGTTTAGGGTTTGGAAGAGACTGCGCCGCACAGAAGGCACCTTTAGAGCTTCATGGGCTGGGTTAGGTTTCCATGGCGTCTTAGGGCGACTGAAGCTACACTTGCCTTCGGGTGAGTTTGGTGTTGGGTAGTTGTCAAAACTATGGTCCCTTTTGGGGTACCCTAAATAATACTGAACCCTGATCCCCCAGGTACCTACTTTTATAGGGTACTAGAGCCCCTAGGGCCCTATATAGTAGGTACCTGGGGGGTGGGGGGAAGCTAAACTTGCCTTCGGGTGAGTTTGGTGTTCACCTGTTGAGGAGCATATGGATGTGAGCATCGGGAATAGTTTGAAGGAGCAATCGCGGGACGACTGAAGTTTACGAGGCTCCTTCGCCTGGATTGCCGAAACGTGTTTTGAGGGCCCGCAAAGCCTCGACTCCCAACTTGCACATGCATCACCAAGCTTTTCAACAGTCATACTTACAACGCAGTACAATCACAGAAATCAGAACAAAATGCGACCTTCGATAGTGAAAGCATCACGTCGAGTTTCCTTGGACGGCAACCACATCCGAGGTCCAGGCAAGCCCTCCGCCTCCCCCTCCTCTTCAACCTCAGATGGGCGTCTCTCAAGGTCCATCCTATCTTTGAGGATCCTGCTGTTTAGGGTTTTGGGAGCTAGGATTAGGGGGACCCTTGGGGATATAGACCCTCTCAATAAGGTCCCTTTTAAGAGAGCCAAAAGTAGGGTTCAGAAGGGGTACCCTTTAAGGGGTACCCCTAATTAATAATACTACCTAGGTTTAAGGTTCCCTAAACCCTAAACCTTCTTCTCCCAAACTCCCGGGTTCGGGTAAGGACGGTTTCTAAGGAGCTAGAGGTGAGAGTTCAGGGTTTCAGGGTCCGTCGAAGGTGTGGAAATGCTTTGGGTTTAGGGTTTGTAATGTAGGGGCCTTAATAATTAGAATAAGGTTTTGGGGCGGAGCGGACTAGAACTATAATAAGGAACGCCAAAAAAGTATAGGTAACTATTTAGGCCCCTATTTTAGGGTTTGTGCAGTTTCTGGCGTCGCATTGGTAGCTGTTGAGGCGCTTTGAGGATTACAGGATGGAACTAGCTGCCGCAGAGCGGTTGAGGAACCCCAAACCCGAAACACACAACCCTGAACCCCCCAGGTACCTACTATATAGGGCCCTCGGGGCTCTAGTACCCTATATAGTAGGTACCTGGGGGGTTAGGGCAATTTCAACAGAAGGCTTTCTAAGAAGGCTGCTTAAAATCGTCGACAAGATTTGTGGTTGAGGGTTTAGCGTTTCTAGTTTTGGGCTCAGGATGGTTTCTGTTACGATTGGAAGCTGGTTTAGGGTTTAGGGTTTAGGGTTGGGTTTAGGGTTTAGGGTTTAGGGTTAAAGGGGAGTTTCAAAATGATTCTTACTGCGGGGGGCCCTATTCCATACAAGCCCGTTGGCTAAGACCCCTTCTGGCCTCCTGTGAGAGAACCCTGCGAGAACCCGTAAGAACCCTTGGAGAACCCGCATCAATACCCCTGAGCTACTACAAGTGCGTAGGCCTCGTAGATGAGGCCTGGTCCTTGAGACGTGCTCTGAATGAGGGCCTATTTAAGAGACTCTAGGGTTGCTTCATAACAAAAATAGTTTCAATAAGCACCATGATAGCAAAACGCAAGTAATAGATAGTACTTTGCGGTTTGAGGCTTGTGCTTTGAAGGGTTTCGACGTCCGGCTTGCGGATTTAGACTTCAGGGCTGATGGGCGCGGAACTCGGGCTTGTGACTTGGCCCGGACCACCCAAGAACCAACAAACAACAGACACAACACAGGTAAGATAGAAGAATCCCCTAAACCCTAAACCCTAAACCCAATCTCCTGACGAAGCCTGGGCACTTGCCGCTCCAGAAGCGCGCGACAATGATTCGAAAGCTTGTGCATCGCCTTGCAGGTGCTTAGACTGGAAGGGTTTAGGGTTTAGGGTTTGGGGTTTAGGGTTTAGGGTTTACCTACATCATCTGCATAAATACGGTTGATGATATCAATCCTGCATTACCTTAAGGACACAACTAAACCTATGGGAATTCTGGTATATGCCATAATCTGGGTCATGCAGGATGTATATCATCAACAGTAGGATGCAAAGAAAAGGACTCCGATCAACAGTCGTCTCCGACCCTCGAAATCCTGGCTCCCTAAAGCTCCAAACCCTCGAAGGGCTTGGGTGCTCGGCGTAGGGTTTAGGGTTTAGGGTTTAGGGGTTAGGGGTTAGGGTTTAGGGTTTAGGGGTTAGGGGTTAGGGTTTAGGGTTTAGGGGTTAGGGTTTAGGGTTGAGGGTTCAGGGTGGTTGACCTCTGGGGTTTTCCGTGGAGTTTTTTTGGGGCGAGAAAAGGGAGAGGCTTGGCTGCCATGTCTTCGTTCTGAGTGGTGTTTTCGGGTGTTTTTACATATGCCCCTTTCAAGTAACCCCGTGGGTTTACGTCGTAGCAGCATTCGAAGAGAATCCTAAAGCAACGCCCAACTCAAGGACCCTCAGAGCCTATAGAAAGCCGGATAATATATATATATATATATATATATATATATATAGGAGCCTTCATAGTTACCTAGACTATTTTGGGGGTTCCTTATTATAACTATAGTATAATGGGCCGCAAAATTCCTATTCGAACTATGAAGGCCCTATATTAAAGGGCCTTCAGAGGTGCTCCAGTTTGAGTGCGCGTTGGCATTGGGGCCTTAATGATGAGAACGGGGATTCGGAACATGTTGTGGTCAAGTTATAGTATACTTGCAGTACGGACCCACTAATGAATACTAACCGTAATTATTCAGGACCCCTAAACCCGAAACCCTAAACCCTAAACCCCTAAACCCTAAATACTACTCTTGAGTCTCGCTTTCAAGGCTCCTTTGGTGTACTCTACAGGATTCCGGAGTCGCCTCTCGAAGTCCCAAGTCCTGAGCTCTGCCTCGATCACCTGTACACAAGACCCCGACATCCTACACACATGGGTGGTTGTCAAAATTAGGGTCCCTTTTTGGGTCCTTATTATAATACGGCATCCATTATTTAGGGTACCCCAAAAGGGACCATAGTTTTGACAACTACCCACATGTATCCTAAATTTACTTGCGCAATTTCCCAGGGAAGCTGAAACCCGGAGCAAGTCAGAATCGACTTGGAGGTCCATATTTCGTATGGAAAAATGAAAGGGGAACTGCTACCCACCCTAAACCCTAAACCCTATAAGCCCTAACCCCTAAACCCTATAAGCCCTAACCCCTAAACCCTAAACCCACACCCCTAAACCCTTAACCCCGATCCCCATACTACCGTCGACACAGAACCCGCCTTGTTGAACAATGCGAGCAACTGTGAAGCCGGTGCATTGAAGTCCTGCGCCACCTGTCAGAGACAGAGACCTAACATAGGGTTTAGGGTTTCGGGTTTAGGGGTTAGGGTTTAGGGGTAAGGGTTTAGGGTTTAGGGTTTAGGGGTAAGGGTTTAGGGGTTCGGGTTTAGGGTTTAGGGGTTCGGGTTTAGGGTTTAGGGGTTAGGGGTTAGGGTTTAGGGTTTAGGGTTTA